TCGATGTACAGTCTAGAAGTTGCTTTGCTGAGCATGTTTTCAAATTGAACGTCCCAGTTACATGGATCTTCGTTTACTGTAACTCCTAGCAGCTTTAGTTCGCTTTTTCTGGTTATTCCGTCCATGGGCTCTGGAAGGGGCATTGTGGTTTTACCTTTAACAACCATCTCAAAGGTTTTCTTCATGTTTAGTGTCAGCAGGTTTTTATCCGCCCAACGTTTGATATTTTCTACTTCATAATGTGATAAATCTGTAAGATTAGGGCCAATGGTGACAGGCACACTTGCTGTAATATCATCAGCATATTTGATCAGTAGGGTGTGGGGGCTGACCGGTTTAATATCATTCACCATTGATATGAGAAGTATGTGAAATGCTATGCCTAATTGTTTATCTTTGCGCATGCAATACCCCGTGTGATGATTTAATACTTTTGTCAGGAAAAATTGGTGAGCACACGTTTTACTGACCCCCTGAATTTACCTTTTGTCAAATATTAGTCTTTGTTGCCTTCTTTCTCATTTAATTTTGTTCTTCCCAGGTAAAAACATAAGGCAGGATCCCACCAGTCCCACCTAAGATCCCGGGTTTCTTCAACTTTCTTCTTCTATATTATGACTGCTTTCAGTAGTGTTTTTGTTGCTTAGAGTATGTCAGCAAACAGTCAGCAACTTTGGTTGCAAGTAGTGTTGTTGCATTCCTAGAAAGTCCACTGACTTTACAGCAACTTTACAGCAACTTTTGCATAATATTTGCCATAAAACTTTTCTGCATCTCCATTTCTTGTATATCCTTTATAGATTTATTTTATAACAGAGAATTCATTGCTGTCTTCTTGTAGCTGTTGGTATGAGTAATTGCTGAGCTCCTTCCTTAAATTTCCTGCAAAAACCCTTTGATGTTCACCGGATTTCATAACCAGTCCCCTCTACTAACTATGCAATAGCTTAATATCGGTAGCTCCGAGGACAAATAGATCTTGTTTGCTGCTTCCGTAGTTAAACAACCTCGTAATCGTGACAGGAGGTCAAGTCTGCTGGCAACTTTTGACCTAACATAATTTATGTGATCGTTGAAAGATAAAGACTCGTCTAGTAAGACTCGAAGATACTTGAACGACTTTACTAGGTTAACTTCTTTCCCTTCCATTCAGAGCGTACTATGATATTCAGATCTAGTTAGCCTCTGCCGAGTTCCAAATACAACGTACTCAGTTTTCGTTAGGCTGAGGAAGAGACCATTCGCTGGTAGCCGATTTGGAACAACATTGAGGTCAAGGCTTAAAGTGCCCCTAAGATCAAAATTTCCGTTCACTGTATCTCCTTTACCTACTCGGCCAAATTTCCGTCTAGACCAAGCACCAGAAATATCTTTATTCGGGCCGTTAAATTCGCGATTTCGCGTCCGCCATTATTTGATCATGTTCCGGAATTTGCATTGATCGCAGGACTCAGAGGAAGTGACGTCAAAGGCTCAACGTGAAAATCTCACATGGAAAAATGTCAAGCAAACATAACAGAGTGCATTACTCTATTCTTACAAAAACTAAAGAAAAATGACGAGGCATCGATGCGTAATTCAAAACTGAAGTGATCGTGCAGACCATGCTGCAGGTATTTGTCTGCATTGGAGCCTTGCAAATAGATCAGAGCGGGAAAAATGGATGCGATTTGTGCGAACTCACTGAGTAAACTTCAATCCTGCAGGAATTCAAGAGATCTGTGTACTTTGAAGGATTTAAGCGAAGAATTCTGTCGGGTTCAGTACCTACCGTTCAAAAGAAGGGACAAGAAAAACCGTCCTGTGTGCGATTTCGACAAAAGTGAAGTCTACGAACCTGCACGGGTTTTGTCACCTTTACATATGCGCTAATCAATTTCCACCTTTAACAACTCTCTGGCAGAATACCTTACACAGAGGAAAGTACTCAGTGAACATTGTAAATAAGAATGATAAAATAGCCAAGTTGAGAAATGAGATTTCTGACCTCAAAGAGCTCACTCTTATACAAAAGAGATGAAAAATATAATTGTGTCCTCTGACTCTAAAAAAAGCTGGCTTTAATATCAGCGGAAGTAGAACACACAGCTTAAGACACACAGAGCGTAGAAACACTTTAAAATGTAGGCTTGCAGCCGAAAAACAGAGAAGATGAAAATTTCTTAAAAGACCTCTCAAACTATCAACCATCTGACAGTCAATCAGCGTGCTATCAAAGGGTCTCAAATTCATCCCAACACCCGTGACAAACGAATGTGAAATTAGGCCAACTTTTGCAAGATGAATTCGCAAGACGAATGCGGCTTCGTTACACCTTTCACGGACAAAACGAAGAACCACTTCCGTTTCATATCAAACTTAACTGAATGCCACCAGTTCAGTCTTCTTTCGCCCTGCAGAGCTACTTGGAAAATTGTCATAACACAACTTGAAGACTGTATTTAAGCCAAAAAATACTTTGTAACGCAATGAGGTCACGGCTCTAAAACTCGGAGTTGAAACAAACTCTGCTTTAAACCCCACCGAAGCAAAACAACAATAGTCATCATGAATAAGACAGAAAAAACAAAAGAGGCCAAAGTGCAACTCAACAACAGAGTCCATTTCAAACCTCGCAAAGCACCGATAGTAAAAAGCACGCATGAAAGGGTTAATGAGATCATTGACCAAATGCATCGGGGCAAACACATTAATGGCTTAGAAATGGCTTTCACAAATTCCCAAACTCCGCTTTGATACACAATCAGCCATTGCCGAAAACAATTTTTATATATCACTCGATCATTTCTTACAAAAAGGAAAATCCCTTACAAGCAAAAATACAATTCGAAGGCGATAGAGCGATGCGATCACAAAAGCCGCATGGGGAGTCCGTGCAGTTCTGTATTTATCTTTATTCGCATGGCAAAAATTCATCGTTTGCCGGTGCAAAACTACCCACAGAAGCTTCAGAGGATTTCTGGGACAATTCATCGTCAGACAAAGTCAACATCTCCCAACTGACAACGAAACAGTTCTCAAAAAAGTAATATGTGTGATTCTCTTTGCAGCGAACAAAGAGAGTTTTGACAAAGCAAAGCATAAGTTTGTTGAGCCTTTGACATCATGATGACGTTTTCTGCTGTACAATGGCGGGCTCGGCTGGAATATGTTTTCGGCAATGGCGGACGATTTTTGGACGACTTTGAAGCGGTAAAACTTGGTCATCGAAGGTTTGTTTTGAGTTTTTAATGGCAAAAAGGGTTTTAACTTGACCCAGTTCTACAGTCTAAAAAAATTAGCCCAAAATAAAATGGTCAATTTTCGTCTCAGGGGCAGAAAAGATAACAGTGTCGACGGCATACAACATAACACTAGACAGACCAACGGCTAAAGGAAGGTCGTTTATGTAACAGTAGAGGCCCTAACACGGAACCTTGAGGTACTCCGCTACTGATGTTAGCGGCAGATGAAAGGTGATTTTCAA